TTAGTTAAATTTGGATAGGTAGTAGCAAGAAGAATACGTTCCATAAAAACAGGATCAAAAGCAAAACATTTCACATTATGATGAATTCTTGGTAATATATCATTGCAGAATCGATCGATGATAGAAATATTATCAATGGAGACAAACTTGAGAATGTTGCTGAAAATATTTTCTTGTGCAAGAATGCTAAGTCGTCCATCATTAATATCGAATAAAGAATAAAGTACATCGATATTGTTCAAGTACTTCAAAATAATAAGTAATATTTCATTAGGTAAATCCAGAAGATGAGCACTGGATCGGCTCATATTTTATTATGAGTATGATGTTTTTGACTAAAATAAAGCTTTATGTACATACATATTTGTTCATTACTTCATCTCATACTTTGACCTTAAACAGAATGAAAATTTAGCAATGTGATTGATCTATTTCAAGTTAAATCATCTTTTTAGACGCTTTATTCGTTAATTCAGTCTGTTTCGACGTTTTGTGCCAACGTTGGATTGAAGGATGACACATTGAGAAGAAGAAAGGATATATTTCTCCTATAAGAGAGTTAGCTGAACTTCATTCGTTTAGTATTTTTTACATTCGAGATTTTTACATTTTAAAATCAAATATGAAGTGTTTGATGATGATTCGATCGTGCACTGTTAATCTATATACGTGTCGGATAAAAAAACTTTTTTTCCATTCTGTGACCAATCAGATAAAAGTGACTGACCTGGATCCTGTCTATTATATAATAGACAGGGTCAGTTTGGGTACTGTTATCTGATTGGTCACAGACTGGAAAAAATATATATATATATATTTTTTTTTCATTGTATGACCAATCACAGTCAAATAAAAGTGATCGGACTGAACCGTATCTATTATTATATAGATGATATCTGATAATACCATGTATTCTAGAAAAACAACTCGACGATAGACCAGATCCAAATAATCATTAGGAATTACGCGATTATGCTTCATCACGTTGTGCGCAAATGATCAGGTAAATATAGAGTTTAAACAAATAAAATTTCATTTGTAAACATGTTTTTTCTTCTTAATTAGAATGTTTCCAGCTAGTATTCATCGTTCACAAAATCGTATTGTACGAAATTTTCGTCGAACATTTCAAAGTGAGCATATCACTTATTACTCACTATGGAGCACTTGCTGATTTATGTGGAATGGATCAAGAAATAGATAGAGTATAAAGTCAAATAAATTCTGTACATTTTCATTTATTTAGATAATTGAACAATACGTATTTTCTATAACAAGAACATTTAGTGATCGAATTGTAAAATCATGTGGAAATCTATCACTACCACCGATTGATAAAATAATGATTGATCGAATTAATGGTGTTATATCGGTAAATAATATCTATTTATTATATAATTAATTTATATAATTTTTATATCTTTTGTAGAAATATAATCCAACAGCTTACCGTACATTACGTTCAACACCTGATGATATTGAACATTCTAATGAAGACTTTGGCAATTTTTATGGACAACGTTTATATACACAAGTTACTCAACTTTAGCAACAATCAAGATCCACAAATCATCTTACTCAAGTGAGTGAATAAACCATCTATTAGACATACCTAGTTGATGATTATCTATAAATGAATGAAACATTTATTGTTATATATTATTCAGTTTGCGCATAAGATCTGATATAAAAACCTATAAGAATAAAAGATAAACATACATAATAAACAAAAGAAAAATTTCCGACAATAAGATTGAAACTTGTACATATTCGAAAACAACTATTGAACATTGATCATAGCCAGTTGTTATGAATAATTTACATAATAATGAAAGCTTTTATTCAATACGCAGTTTAAGTTATTCCGATATGGATTCATCACAGCAACAGCAACAAGGTACTGAAGAATTTTATTTATCATCAGCAATGAATTTAAATGATAATACAAACAATCATTTGGAAACATCTCCACGTTCTTTATCAACTAATACACTTGATTAATTAGTCAATTCAACAATATCAACAGATATGAATCAATATCCTATTCACAAAGATTCATATCCACCTTCAATCGAGCCAATTCGTATTGTTAATAAATATTTACCTGTTTCTCCACTACCTTCACACAAAATAATCATTGAACGACAAGTACCACTTTCACAAAAATCTCAACCTATTATTATTGAAAAATGGCTTTCTTGTCGAGCACCAACCAAACGACGTCTTATTATTGAATCGACACCACCATTAATATCAAGATCTCTACAAAAAAATACTGTTATTACATATGATGCTCCTCATTTTCATCTTATAAAAAATATTCATGATTTTGGTATTGTACATTTTGATCCTGATATATATATATATACTGCTCAACATGATTCACAATTAGCATCAAATGAATATGTTTTAAATTCTATAACAAAAATTGATGTCTGAAATAATTATGCAAATATGATTGAAATACAATCGATGAACCATAGTTTAAATAATTATCAATCGATGATTTATAAAAAAAATAAAACATGAAATGTATGTGGATATCAAAATGGAATTATTTGTGATTATATTGAAAAACATATCGAGGAAACAATATTACCGGATGGTAGACGAAAATGGAATTCGAATACTGTAGGTTCCAATATAGAAGAAGTTTTATGACAAGTACCCATAGTTAATTGAGAATTATATTTTTTTTTCAACGAAAAGAAAAACATTCTTATTATTTCATTAATTTTTATTTATTCACGCAATAAGAAATCTTTTTTTAACTAACAATAATTTATTTATTGACAAGAACTTGGATTCGAGTTCGATATATACTCTTTTTATTTTTAATAAAACTGTTCCATATTCATATCGATACCTAACACATTCTATATATGTCGCGAGTAACTAAAACTTATTACACTAAATTCAGATTCGATCAGTTTTTTTATTATAATCCATAGTCTACTCATTTACTTCTAAACTGAACCTATAGTAAAATATACATACATGTTTATTTTTTCAGAATCATCAATATTCTTCATCATCTAATCCAGGATCACGTTCGACGAAACATTTACCTGGTCAAGCAGCATCTCCATCATCACATCATCCAAATGCTGGTTCAGTAATTCCAGTACAATCATCAGCTCGTTCAATGAATCCTTTATTGTCAAAGCAACATATCTCAATCATCAACTGATACATTAACACCCATGATTAGTCACGAAAATGTTTTATTAAATTATTTAGGATAATATTTGTTTCTTTGTTCATACGATACATTCTACTGTTTTCTTTTTTCTCTTATCATAATTAAAAGTATATTTTTACATTTTTTCTAGATCTATATTCTTACTTATACAAAATTATAATGGCTGGATCAGTTAATTCCACTGATGAACATAGAGCCTTAGAAGCTATTCTTTATCGAAAAAACCGTCTCAATCGTTTAATTATTCATCAGGCCGTTACTAATGATAATAGCGTTGCAACATTATCATCAAACAAAATAGCTCAATTAGGATTAAATAGTAATGATGTTGTTATTCTTATAGGTAAAAAATGTTGCGAAACAGTTGGCATTATTCTCGCCGATGCTGAATATACAGATGATCGTATTCGAGTGAGTCCCATTATAAAAAACAATTTACGTGTACGTGCTGGTGAGGTAATTTCCATTCAAAAATGTACAGATATTGCAGTTGGTAAACATATCTACGTTTTACCTATTAATAATGTACAAACAATACCAGGCAATTTACATGAAGTGTATTTACAACCTTATTTTAATGAAGTTCGTCGACCAATACGTACAGGAGATGTTTTTACTGTATGTGTCGATACGCGTTCTGTTCACTTCAAAGTTATTGGAACTGAACCAAGTCCACACTGCATTGTTACATCTGATACAGTTATACATTATAGAGGTGATCCAATTAAGCCTGAAGTAGAAGTATCATTAGATGTAATTAGTTATGATGATATTGGTGGTGTAACCCAACAAATAAAACAAATTAAAGAGAAGTTTGATGATAATGATGCTCGTAATCGACAACGTAGTTTTCTCCTCTGGGGAGAACCGGGCACAGGTATAATAAAATTAAAATCTTATTTTATTGAGAAGAAAAAAAATGATTTATGTTTTAGGTAAAACATTAATTCCACATGCCATGGCTAATCAAATGGGTGCACAATTGATTTCAATTAATGGACTGGAAATTATGTCCAAATCAACTGTTGACGCAAACAAGACTTTCACAAACGCATTCTTGGAGGCTCAAGCGGTAATATTTATTTCATTATGATTATTTTATCATTATGTATATATTTATGTTTAGGCAAGTTTAGCTATTATATTTATTGATGAATTTGATGCCCTTTTACCAATAATTAGACAAACACAAAATGAAAATGAACAGCATATTACAGATCTATTATTAACTTTTTTACGAAATGTCAACGGACGTTTACATAGATATATTATGGTTATAGCTGCAACAAATCGATATCAGTCAATTCGTCCGTATATTTTTCATCATACACTTACTAATTTTAAAAAAATTTATATTGGCATACATAATGATACTGCCGATCGTTTAGAGATTCTTGCTAAATGTACAAGAAATATGGTGTTAACAAAAGATGTTGATCACGTAAAAATTGCTAATGAAACATTTGGTTATGCCGGTGCAGAATTAGCTTTATTATGTTCAGAAGCTGCTTTACGACGAATTCAAGAAGAGATGAACGTTCTCGAATCACAAGAAGAAACAAAATATGTTGAAACTGATTCATTAGCTGTTGCACAAAGTAATTTTGACTTTGTACTGGACCAAATCAAGCAAACAAGTTTAAATAGACTTTCTCGTAATTCTAATTAAATGTATTTCACAACACATTCCAGAAACTGTTTTGTGATAATTTTTTTCCATCATTTTATGTTGTGTATACAGACAGGACGATGAAAACAACATCATATGTTTTTTTTTGAAAATAAAAATGCTCCAAAATATGGAATATATGTTACAAAGTATCATTACTTTAGATGAAATGAACTTTGTCAATCTGTATATAATACATTAATTAAGTTATGCTTGGCCTTCACTCCTGATCAAAGTCTCATGAATTTGAAACTATCGATTGTAAATTGATATTCAATCTTTCGTAAAAACGATTCACATTGAATCAATACATAGAGATAATACTGTTATGATATTTTATATTTCTCACTTATATTATAAAGTAAAACTGATCTACGTTTAATGGAACTAAATTTCTGCATGTACCAGTATTTATTTATTATAAACTTAAAAGTTGAATGAAACTTTATCGAAAAAATCTTAACTTTTTTACGATTTATCATTATATAAATCTTTAATTTGATTTTTTTCTTTGTTCTTCGTGGTTATATACATTCATGTGTGATGACTCATACTAGCAGCGTTTTACACATTCATGTGCTTGCCTTCAAATAGGTATACTTGGTTTTTTCCACGACGTAGAAGAACAGAAAAAAACATGGTAGAAATACTATTTACTTGCGCACATACGCGTTTGAAAAAAATCTTTTTTTTTTATTGAGGGAACGAGAAAAACAAGAATAGTAGCAAAAACCGAAAATAAAATCGCGCAGTTTTGTTAAAACTAGGAATTTGTAATTTCTTCGTATATTTTTTCTATTATAGATAAAAAGGTGTAATATTATAAATAAAATGGAAGAAATTCAACTTAAAACAATTATTTATGGCAGTGAAGAGATTTTAGAATCAATCGAATTAAATCTTCCTATCCCTATGATACTAACTCATGATAGATCATCACTTGCTCGTAAAATTAGTAATCAATCTAAACATATAAATTCTAAGTTACAACGGTATTTTATAATTTTATTTGAATCAATTGAAAATGAGCCAGATAATTTATATGAAAAAATGGAAGAAAATTCTCAAGTTATTGCCGTATTTCATACTTGGAACGAAGACTCTGTACGTACATTTAAACAAACGAAAGTATATTATATCCGACAAGATTTACTTACTTTTGCTTTGACATGTTCGATTATTGAATATTTGAAAGCTCAAGCAAATCAACATATTCAATTAAATCAAATACCACTATCAAAAATTTATATGAGGCAAGCTGGCAAAATTAAAGAATGGCTGATGTCAACTATAAGAGTATATCAAAACAGTCTTTTCTATTTAATATTTAATTATATTATTTTTTTTCAAAGGCTCAACCGTGTCATATATTGGTTATACCTTTAAATACAAACAGTACTAATCTAATTGATAGTATACAATGTTTACAACAGTTCTGTAAATAATTAAAACAATATTTTTTTTATCTTATTTAAATTAATACTTTCTTTTTGATTAGGTAAGAGATTTGGTTACCCATCAGCTATAATTCGTTCACTTGATGATTATATTCCAAAAAGTGAAATATACGATAAATTACCTTATGGAAAACTTCTATTTGAAAATGAAAATCCAATAGACATATGTAATTGCCTTCGATTATTATCACCAATACGTATGTATTTATATGGAAATGAAGAGGTGATACCAAGCGAATGGAGTAGATTAATGGCTTCGACAGAAGTCGATCATGTTGATAAAGGTATAGTTAACGATGACGATTGGTGTACATTTCTCGAAAATGAAACCGTTAATGAGAATATTAAATGGAATTTTTCTGTTAAACATGGTCGATCATGGAAATTAACTCATTTAACACCAATTCAACTCCATACATTGGAAGATAATATTCGTTTTCGATCTGCTCTTCGACGTTCGAATATGACATTTTATTCACGAATGTCGAATGTTACTGCAAGGTTATACGACTGGTTTGATACGTGTTTAGAACGTGAACATCTTCAACATGAAGTATGTCTTAGTATTTCATTTAGCACAGAATCGATACTGCCCTTTTATATCCTATGACTAGTTAAGAATAACAACAAATGCGAACTTAAAACGTAGAATATTAAAGTGGCTCATAAGTTACTCGTTAATAGTTCTTGATAGGAATAAGATAGACACCTGTACTTTTAAACAATTGTACTTCCTAAGAAACTACAATAAATGTATAATAATCGAGTTTATATTTGAACTGATAATCAGTGATTATAAAAATCTATACAAGACTTAGATGCTTATATATATATCTCAGTTCTCTATTCTATTCCTATCAAGAATTATTCACAATTAAAGACTGTCGAATAACTCATGAATACCTCTGCACAATATACAATTCCTAAAAAAACGTACTTTGCCTCCTCACTTTAATTCAAAAGTCCGACTGTAATAGTGTAAAAAAGATTTTAATAAAATTTTGTTGGTATTTAATCCTGACTATTCAATTCTTTCAGTTACGAATTTTGCAATCGTTTCATTTGAAAGAGAAAACATTGAGACATAATTTCTAAATTTAAATTCTTTGAGCTTCCGAAAATGCCTTATTTTAAACATTGAAAATATTGTTTAAAAGAAAAAATCCCGTGGCATTTATCACATTATTTTTTCGGAACACAACATTATGATTTACAATATTCTTATTTTAGCATAAACTGATTAGACGAGGCAACTCTAATACATTAGGAAGTGACAAACCTGAAGAACAAATGAATCTTATTGGAAATTTGAATAATACGCGTTTCGATGATAATAAAAACAATAATTCATATTCTTTACCTTATTCATCTCATCAATCTAATGAAATTGTTAACTATTATTCAAATAAATCCGATCGAACATTTATATGGCTTGATAATACTTTTTATTCCATTGAAAATCGTTTTCAAGAATTAATCTATCCTGATCAATGGAAATATTTTTCAAATATTTATGATTGTGAAGCATTTATTTTGAAACAAAAATTACAGTATAATACAAAAATATATTTATTTACAACATGTAATCTAGCTGAACAATTATTTGCATATGAACATGTATCAAAAATTTATGCTGCTTATTTATCGTTCAATCAAAATGAAATCTATCCGGCATGGATAAATAATTTTCCAATCATACGAGGAACTTATCAAAATTTTGATTCACTTTATGAACAATTCAGTTATGATATAACAACAAATATCGAATTAGTACCATTTCATAATCAAGAACAAGTATGTTTTTTTTTTGTATTCTTATAAATAATAACTTTGATTTTATATTTAAAGAAAAATGAAGATCTATTACCAATAAGTTTCTTAGATACAGCTGGAAAAGGATTTGAACGTTATCGAATTTTAACTGATATTTTACTTAAATTACCACGTACATTGGAAGCTAAACAGGAGATGATTGATGAACTTGAACGTACATCAAATGGAAATTTTTCTCAACAAATTCAAGATTTCGAACGAAATTATCATTCAAATGATGCTATTCAATGGTATACACGTGAAAGTTTTGTTTATCGTACTATCAATCAAATATTACGTTATGATGATATTAGTTTAGCAATAAAATATCGATTTTTTATTACTGATTTATATGAAAAATTATCTGAACTTCATAATCAAATAATTCAATCGAATGATTTTTCAGAACAACCTATAATAACATGCTATCGAGGACAATTAATGCAATTATCTGAAATTAATCAATTTAAACAAAATGTTGGAAAACATATCGCAATCAATACGTTCTTTTCTACTTCACAATCACTTGATATTGCACTTATGTTTGCTGGAGGATCGAAATTCGAAAGTACAACATCATTAAAATCAGTCATATTTAGTATTGAAGTTGATCCATCGATTCAAAATACACGACCATACGCTCATATTAATTCTTATTCAAGTTATACGGATGAAGATGAAGTTTTATTTGCATTATGTTCAGTATTTCGTATAGAAAAATTCAGTATGCTATCTGTAAATGATAATATACCAGTAATACACTTAAAAATGATTGATGAAAGTGAATTACCACCAATTTCAATTGATATACCCAGTTTAATACCCGAAAAGATAGTTTTAGGTAAGTTAGAAAAAATTTTTTTAATTATTTAAATTTTACATATATTTCTATAGATCCGGTCTATGCTTTTGTCGGCATAAAATCTCTAACTGAAGAAACAAATGAACAATTTGAACTTATTAAATCTGTACTCGAAAATGTTTATGTTCATTTTTTTGATAATATAGACGATTTTGATAATTATACAAAATCAATAGAAGCAATTCAATCGTTTATTGTTTTTATTCATAGTCAATCACATATGCCTGAAAATTCACAACAAATACAAGTTATATCATATGGAGAAAATGACACACATTTCAATGATCTCGTTTATCAATTATTATATTTAATGGAATCGAAAAACAAATTGAAAGAACAAATGGACGATTTACGGAAGAAACTCGTGGATATTTATTGTCCATCAGGTAATTTATTTCAAGAAGATATTTTATAAATTAGAATGTTACTTTTCTTTTTAGATCAAAGTAGTTTTTATGTACAACTTTTACTTTCTTCAACATCGAAAAAAGAATCGGAAAATGAATTGAAAACAAAATTTCCTTCATCAACAATTCTACCTTTCTATCAAATTGAATCATGTATGTATTTTCTTCAATCTATTATTGTTGAACCATCAAAACTTGGCAATGCCATACTCATACTTCAATCTGATGATACAAATATTGATAATTTAATCGATCAATTTAAAAATATTGATTCTATAGAGCATATTTATATATGTTCAAAAGATGCGTTGAATATAAAAAATCGTAGAATAATTCATGGTAAATTTTGTAATGAACATGATTTATATATTCAACTTTATTCTGACAATTTAATGAATTCATCCATACAAACTAATTTACAAATTGATATATTTAAAAAGAAGAATGAAGCAATTCGATATTTTCAACAAACTGAACAATTTTATAAACTTTTGAAAGAACATCAGACTCTAGAGAAAACTAATTTGGGATAATAAATTACTTTTCTAAAAACAAACTTTTGTTTTCTAAGTCTGCTTATGTTTTTGTAAATTCTATAATATTTTAAAGATTTATTAGATGTATTCTAGATTATACAACATTCATTAATGGAACATAAACATCATGTACTTATTGATGCAACGCAAGAATCTCATGCACCATTCTTCGCTCAAAATGATAACTTCAACTCGTGGTTACATTCTTATGATAATGTATCTGAAGCATTAAAATTTATAAATGGTATAGAATTACCGTACAGTATAGAAGTATATATAGCAAGAGACACTATTTATGATCCTATATCATCAGAATTAAATGCACCTACTCTTATTAAAACCCTAGGCGACTTACAATCAATTAATCATATTAGTGTATATAGCCCTAATAATGATATTGGCCTTGAACAACAAATTCGCTGTATTCTACCAGACAAAAGACAATTAAAGAAAGTTATTTCAGTGATCAATTTACGTACTTTGATGTGCGAAGAAGGTAGAGCATATATTAGAGAAAAAATATATCATTGTATAGTTAACGAAGAAATTAATCTTATACCAAACTACCAACAAGATATTAATAGACTAATGGACTATTATAACGAAATTCTTGCTGACCAACAATTAAGAATAGACGCATTGGTTGAAGAACATTCTAATAGACCAAGTGAAGAGGCAACATAAGCAATAAACAACTGATATGTTTGATACTGGTTATTATTTGGAAAACTTCTTTACGGTCCATTTTATGAAGTGTGTGAATGTGCGGTTTGTTTTTTTCTGTTTTGTAATTTATAAATTTGTGTTTTTCTACTTGAGGAAGAGAAGTCAATTAGATTAGATTTTTGCAGTTAACTAATATTATCCTCGTAATACTGATTAACAATGAAAACTATTCTAATAGACTTCTACTAGGATATTTAGATTTGTTTTTACTAGCTCTGATATATAAATAAACAAAAATGCCCGGTGATACTTACTCGTCATATTTATTGTTCTGTGAAAACAGTATTTTTTCAGATTATACTTCTAATGCTGTAGACATATGATTAAATACTGTTCTGTTTGACTGAGAAGAAAATAAAAACTTCTACTAGGGAATATATTAAGATTGCAGTACTATAGCATCTATCAATGAGAAATATTCGGGCTACTCCAGTATCGTAGATAATTTTTGAGCTGTGAAGAGATACTTGAGTATAGATATTTCTGATTACTCATTTAACTGTTTGAGTATACGATTCTAAGAACTGTATCTTCGAAATATTGAGCATGTTTAAAAGGTGTATACGATTAAACATTTGAAAAGCTTTTATTTCGTATGGACTATTTATTATATGAATTAAGCAAGAAAACTTGCTTTATAATATATGATGAAGAGCTTCTAACTTTATTACATAAAGTTTGCAAATTTTCTATTCTTAGTCGTAGGAGAATTATATTGTTAAGCATGTTTGTTTTTTTATAACTTTTTCTTTGTATTTTAAATATCAAATACTTTACATCAGGCCAATCTTGTGAGTTGTCTTTTTTTTTGTTATTTACTTCTAATAAACTGTTGTTATTTAAGAACATAAATGCCTAGAAAACTTTACCAAATAGCTTAGAACAATTCATGTTCATAGTGTATAGTAACTACAATAAGAATGGTTCTCTTATAAATAATGAAAATCGATGTCTAGCGACTCCTGTTGATACACTTCGATCACTGAACTATTGAAGAACCAATAATAATAAAAAGTTATGCAACATATTTGAATTTTCGGGAATTTTCTCTGTCTTGTAAAAGTTCGTTTATTTCCAATAATAATTTAATTATGAGTGGTCTAAGAAAGTCATCACGTATACGAAAATCGATAACAACAATTGACCAAAATTTGGATGATGACGATGATGATGCATTTATAACAACAAAACCACGAAAAACTATTACACGTTCTTCTATTAAACGTCCATCTACTGACGATAATGATGAACACGAAATGATAACACCACAAAAGAGACAAAAGAAAAAGAAATCAACAACAACAACAACAACCACAAAGACATCACCATATTTTGATAAAAAAATAACCGAAAAAAAAATTGATTCACCTATTAAAGAAACAAAGAAATCTGTAAAACCAAAACCAAAACCTAAGAAGAAAACTGCAAAACCTAACGTAACTATTGATGAAAATACAACATTATCGAATGATGCTACAAGTGTAACAACAAAAAGTAAGTTAAAAAGATTAAACTCAAATATTAATCAACTAAATTTGTCAATTAGCAACCACAGCAAGTGATGATAATAATTCCGACTCAGATTCGGATGATGATGATGATGGAGGTTGGGAAAATGTTCAAGCAAAACCTAGTGAAGAAGTTACTATTCAAAAAGTAATAATTTATAAACATTATTTTATAAAATATTTTTTTTATCTATCTACATGTAGTTACTTAAAGAACGTGAAGAAAAACAATCAACTGTAGTAAATGGTGAAGTTGAAGTAAGTTTAACTAGTGAAGAAGTTGCTGCTGCTCAAGGAAGACGAAAAAAAAATCTTAATTCTAAAGAACATCAATTAGAACTTCAATTAAAACGTGTATTAAAAAAGAATTTTTTACAAAAACATAAACATCATATTGTTTGTAATCTTGGTCATGGTTTTCATTTAATTAAAACATATATTCATAATGAAGAAATTCGTTCACTTATGTTTTCATTACTTGATGAATCTATAACAAAAACATTAATTTATAATAAGAAAACAACAAATATGAATGATATACATCGTCTAGTAAAATATTTTAATGAAGTTTTTATTGTTATGGATAAACCATCAAATGATGAACAAGAAAGTCAACCAGTTACACTTGAAAAATTACGTCAAGCTATGAGTGAACATTTAACTAAATCATCATCACCTATTCGTGTTATTCTCTTTGCTATTTATGTTCGACTTCTTCATTATGAATGTCGATTAGTATTTGCTGCTGATCTACCACCAATTCGTCCACGTGCTGGAAAACAAGAAAAACTTCGTATACCACATGGTAGTCTTACTAAAAATATTAAGAAAAAACAAAAACAAACTTTAACTGATGAGGATGATGATAATAGTACTAGTATGAGCAATGAAGATACATCACGATTACATTCACATGATCATTCATCAGATGTATCTCGTGTTGTTGCTTCAACTTCATCACAATTAGTTAAAAATAATCGAGCAATTTCACCACCATCAGCAACAACTGATAAACCGGTAAAAACTAAAAAAGAATCTCGTCGTTTAATGCCTCGTTATTATTGGATTGAAATATTTCTTGAAACAACCGATAATGGTTATATTCCAATTGATGTTTATACATCAAAAATAAATTCTATCATGGATTTTGAAGTTAATATTAAATTTTCGATGCTTTATGTATGGGCATTTGATACTGATTTATCGAGTTCATATGCAAAAGATGTAACGAAAAGATATTCACAAAAATGGTTAACAACACCTTATCGTACAGCACATATTGAACATAAAACAAATGGTGATCCAAAATGGTATCAAAAATTAATGAAAAAATATCAACCAAAAGATAAAACAAAATCTCGATATTCTCAACATGAAAATAAACAAATTGAAGGTTTGTAAAAAGAAAATTGAATTTATTTATTTTATTTATTCTCTGTAAAACAAAAAGATCAATTAGCGAGACAACCAATTCCTCAATCAAAATCAGAACTCGTTGGTCATCCATTATATGTATTGAAATCGAAATTACTCAAATTTGAAGGAATCCATCCAAATGATACACCTCCTGTTGGATGGCTTAAAGTAAGTAAATAAATTCTTCAGATTTTTTTAGTAGTATTAGTCATCTCCGTCAAGGAATGCCGTTTAAAAGAATAGAATCGCGAACCGGCATTCCTACGAGTATGATAGAAGCTAGTTTAATCTAAACTAGAATTTAAGTGCAAAATAGTTTTAAACAAAGGAATTTCTATTTTTATGTATAAGATGCGTTTATTTGTTCTTCGCGGATTACATAAGTAAGTAAAATTAATGTATATACGTAATTCTATAAACATGTCAAATACTCTCTTGTTTTTTTACATCGTGCTAAGAATGTTAAGGCATGACTTCTAAATATAAATTTGTACCTATTATATGAATAATAATAGAAAATAATTTTGTTTTAGGAAGAACCAATTTATCCTCGAGAAAATATTCATATTTTACGTTCAAAACAAACATGGCTTAAAGAAGCACGACAAGTCAATAAAGATGAAGAACCATATAAAATTGTTGATGGACGAATAAAAAATGTTAGTTTATTTTGTAAAAATATTTATTAGGTTTTTTGTAATTCATATGTTTAGATGGATCGTAAAATGGGTGTAACAACAAGACCTGAATTAGAATTATTTGGTGAATGGCAAACATCTGATTATGTTCCACCAACAGCAAAAGATGGTATTGTACCATGTAATGAATATGGAAATGTTGATTTATTCAAACCAGAAATGTTACCACATGGTTGTGTTCATATTAATGAATCTAATGCTGCTCGACTTTGTAAAAAATTACAAATTAATTATGCCGAAGCAATTACCGGTAAGTAAAACAATTCAGGAAAATTATTTCGAAAAAAAAATTTCTTCAGGTTTCGATGCACATGGTGGTGGATCTCATCCAGTCATAGAAGGTATTGTTATATGTAAAGAATTTGAACAAACTTTACGTGATGCACTTGAAGAACAAAAACAAATTACGATTGAAAAAGAGATAAAGAAAAAAGATGAACGAGTTTATAAAAATTGGCGAAAACTTATTCGTGGTTTAATTATTAAACAAAATCTTGCAAGAAAATATGCTGACGATGATGATGGTGGCGAATTAGCAACTGATGCAAAATATCAATGGCCTTTATTACCAAAAGAAAGTAATGATAATGACGACGATTTCATGTAATAATTATATGTTTAGTTTGAATATAGTGTAAAGTTCTTCTACCTTTTCTTTTCCTTGTCTCTTTATTCACGTGATATTAATATAGTTGGTTTTCTTCGTTACTTTTTTTTCCTTCTAAAATAAATATTCAATATTTTTTTATATCAATCTAGCATTAAATAAACTGACAAAATTTCTTTCTATTCAAGGATACCAAAGGTTATATACGTGTTATCTTTCTAATGAAAAAAATGGCATCTAAATATGTACCCAATGGTATAGAAGAAATAGGAACATGAAAAAAAACACACAACTAATATTTGATAACTAAGCAATGTTAAAATTATCAACGATCATTTTTTAAAAGAAAGAAAATTCAAGTAAGTATCACTTATATCGATTCTTAAGTACTTGTCTATGAAGATATACTGATAATACTTAAGTGTTGATATATTGTAATTATTAAATCTAATGAAGTTTATTTTTAGATAGGTCTGAATAAACGGAAAATATCTCACGAGATAATATTGTTTATTTGCATTCTATACTAGGAAATATGTCACTTATGAAATAAAATCTTAGACTATTTTTCGACAAGAACATTTAGGAAAAAAGAGATTACGCATTTTTATAACGATGAGAATATGAAATAAAGATCGTTCGTACTCTGATACAATACAGTACGTTCATAATTTATGAAAAAACTTGAGACTTTAATAGAACTGAGCTAATTGTTGGGAAACATAGCACTTTCTTTAGACAACAAAATAAAAGAAATTAATATTGTCTAGTTTAATTTGAGATAAGAACTGACGCACATATCTATAGTACTGCATTATTAAATAGAGAGTTCTTGGAGTTCTTTGTTCCTAATCATCAATAATAAACTATCTATATAAATTGGTAAAGAAAAAACGCAGTTTGGGATCAAAAAAACATTTCATATTTTCTGATAGGCTCATTCTTTCAATATATTATCTACAATTTTCTCACGTAAGACATATTCGTTAATCAGTACTATTTTCTGTATATACATATATGTGTCTGTGTGTAAGTATAATGTGTTACCTTCAACATTACATTCAGGTTTGTATAGTCAACATAATTTTGTTCTGTTGATTAAGTAAATAGAATTAGATTACATCTGGCAAATAGAAATTCTATTCATAATTTCATTCGAACTTCTAAAAAATTTAACCATAATGCGTGGTATTACTTATGAATTATTTAAAATAAATCTTCTACATTTAAAAAGCAGAAAAGAATGATGTATTTTTTTCATTTTATAGATATTTTTTATAACAATTTTTGAATCGTCCTTGACAATATCAAGAGTATTACTATGAAAAATAAGGTTGTATTAATAACTTCATCTCATTATATTTTGCAAGTACGGTAAATTATATAACAAGAAAAAAAAGAAGAAGTTCTAATTATATTTTTATTCAGTTCTAGTTCAAGTAAAGTATGCAAATTCACCTACATATTTTTAATTAATAGAGTTTTTTTATAATATAAATCAACTATTATCATACAGATAAGAAACATTCATAATTATAGGGATAAATTGTATACATTGAAAAACATGTAAAATCCTTGTTGAGGGCATTTATAGGTAGCGTTATTTACTCTTATTTGATAAGACATCGAGTCTGAGGCGTCATTGTTTCGTTTTAGTAGAAAATTTTTTATTATCATCACGTGTACATAAATTCTTTGCTTATATAAAGGTGACCTAAACCTTTCTTATCAATACAATACAAAGACGATGCTATATGTAAACATTGAGATATTAGAAAACGTTACATTTGAATATAAGAGTAGAGAATGTTACTAAGTATATAGTCATATGGGCATGAAAAAACGCGAGTATGACCTGATCCTTTTTTTTCTTCTTTTTCTCTTCTTCTTGTCGATTACTTATTCTTACCGCGAGTATATTTCATTGAAGAAGAAAAGAAAAGAACGCATGACCTGAGTTGTCCGCTAAAACGTCAGCTATTTAACTGTACTTCAATATTCTTCAAGGTGAATATTATATCTTTTTCTTTTTATCCTGATTAATGCTAATCATTATTTTAACTTATTAGGTAAATTAAATTTATTTCTTATAGATTTAGAAAAACTTATCTGTTCATGCAGTAACAAAATGTCTACGTGTTTTATTATACTAGGATATTAATCATAGTTACTGCACGATTTTGTTAGAATTCATTTAGATAAAATAGATTAGAAGAGAAAAATCTCATCTCTATTTTATATAGTTTTAAAAAATTCATACCATTTAACATTGACAATGACTCTCCTATTGCTTATAGTCATTTATAAAAAAAAGTACTTTCATTTTGCGGTTATGAATTTATTATTAGAAAAGAAATACTAAGTGACTGAGACAAATGAAAAAATTTACACTAAGCAATTAACGGAAGATTTATCTCCTGTGATTAGCACTGTCTACAAATCTTATTTCAATTAGTATTCATATTGATAAAAGTCATATCTTTGAGATCAAATTAAAATAAGAACAAACCTAGATAAGAAAAAAACGTTTTAAATTTGACAGAATTAAAATGTCTTGAGAGTCTCTTTTCGATTTCATTTTTAATATATTCTTGATAAAAAAATGTTATTGAATTTCGTATTCAAAGTTTTGCGTTAATGATATTCTAAGAACATGAATAAATTACATTGGAAATTGAAAGTAGTCGCGATATAAAAATATATTCACTTTTCTAATTACAATGCGTCAGTTTTTTTTAAATTTTTACCTACAGCTGTTAACAATGAAGACATGAACTTTTATCTATGTCAATTTAACCTTTTTTAATCCAAAAAAAAAGAGTATAGAAGAATTCTATGAGTTATAAAAAAAATTTCTTTTCATTGACTGTTATTTTATGTGCAAGTTCGAGACCTTGTAATGAATTAAGGTAATCCATTTTTACATTTATTGAAGTAATACTTCACATGAGATAAATTAGCTGTATTTCAAAAAATAAATTAATATTCGTACAGTTTATCCTACATTTTTTCTAGTAAGAAACAAGAGTATTTAAACGATCATGATACGATCTCTAATCATTAAGGTATATCTATATCGATGATACTAATCAATATAAGTAGTTTTATATACATCCGAAGGTTAGAAAGGTTATATTTTTTCTAGAATTTGCATAAATTGTAGTATAATACAGTTTTTTTTGTTGCCTTAAAACAAATTTAAATATCAAGTCATATTAGAGAGCAAATGAATAGTTAATAAATGATGCATGACAAGTAATATAACCACAATACAATATGGCGAATGAAGATGACAAGAATGAGACAGAAACATATGTATACTGGTTGCATACGCTGATTTTGTCTACATAATATCGCTACTGTATGTTGTTGTTATTCTCCTGTTCTTCTTTTTCTTAGTTTTCTGCATCCACCAATACATTTCTTTTTATTATCATCGAATCTTTTTGTTGTTCGAAGATACATGTATATATATCTAATAGTAATAGATGAATAAAATAAACATTTCTTTTTATGTTCCCAACTGTACGAAAATATGTAACAAAAACGTAAAAAAGATTGAAAACGTGCGTTCGTTTTTTCTTTTTATTCTCCTTACTGAGTTGTGATCAAGGTCAGACTGCTCTGTATACTTTACTATTAATCACGACATACAGCCTGTTTCACATCATATTATTCTTCGTACTATAGATATTCTAATAATATGGCGTTACGAAATCGTAGTGATGATAAAAAAAGAATATCCGAAGATTACTTATCACCAACAATATCATCATCAACATTAGAAATTGTTCTTGATGAACAAACATCAAGTAATTCAGGCGATGACGATTCAATTGATCAAGCTAGGTAATAAAAATATTTCTATTTATAAATATTTTTTATATATCATCCTATTTTAATAAAAGGCAATCAGAAGCCGGTACCACAACCAATGAAAGTTCAAAGTATCGTAAAAAAAAACAACAAATGCCATTACGAGTTCGTTATAACTATAATAATTATATTTATTTATTGGGGTTTTTTTTATATTAAGGATCCAAAATCTCATCGATTAATTGAAAAACGTCGTCGTGATCGTATGAATACTTATCTCAGTGAATTATTACAATTAACACCTCATGAAAATAATCAACATCAACGACGTATTGAAAAAACTGAAATTATTGAAATGGCAATTAAACATATTCGTTATTTAATATCAACATTAGAAAAAAAATGTATAAAATCAATAAAAATTAATTTAAAATATCAAATTTTCGTTTTTTTAGCTGAAAATAAAGAATCAACGATTGATGCATATCGAACTGGTTATAGAAATGCACTTTCCGATGTATATGAATTTCTTGATGATTATTCTAATAGTGATCAACTTCTTGCGGATGTCGTACAATATTTTAAAGAAAAAGAAATTGATTTAAAAGCTCTAACTGGTTTGAATTTAAAAATATTTTGAAACAAAAAGAAACATATATCTATTTTATTTAGATATACCAGATAAAAAAAGACCAAAATATGTTACATTACCAGATAGACGAACGAAATTAACTTCACCACCATCATCATCATCGAAAGAACAATTTAGAAAATCTACTTTGTCAGATAAAGACGATGATAAATTATGTGTTATATCTGAAGTATTAGAATATAAACATAATGAAGTTCAATCTTCAAGTGATGAACGACAAAATTCAAGTCAACAATCTGATTCTAATGTTAAAGTACCAATATTTGTTTTACATCCATCTGGTACACATTATATTCCAATGTGTATTGATGCATCTGTTGTATCAGAAGCATTTAAAAAGAATACAAATTTATCTCATACATTATCAACAACAGATCAAGTTCAATGTCATCCTGTATCAATACCTGTAAATTTTAATTCCACAACAACAACAACAACTCTTTGTGATTCATACGAACTTGATATTCAAAATATAAATGTTATTGGTACTCGTCATCAAACAAGTGTGAGACCGAATTAACTAGATGAAAAATTTTTGTTTTTTCATTGTTTTTTTTTAATGCATTTATAAGTATATAGTATTATCCTTTAATTGATTTGCTTGTTTTTTCTTTTCGATTACCTACACCATCAAGTTAAAATTAAGAAAAGTGAAAGAATGGCTATGACGTAGGATAGAAATTCTATCTATAAATAACATAGTTGAAATATTACATTAGAACGTTCTGACACTGAAAAAAAGCTGAAGTATATGAGGGTGTGGAGTACTTCATACTTAATAAAATGATCAGGCGATGTTTTTAACAACGAATAATCTACTTTTTCTACTGTAATTCTTGTATCTATTGAATATGGATAGATATCATGCTGACATCGTTAAAAATAAATTAAGAAAACTTTCGATAATATTTATTAGCATTTTAAATGAGAGAAACAATAAAAATTCGAAATATTGATTGTTTTGCTGTTGTTCAAATCTAGTATGTTAATAAGTATATGTTGAAAAGATTAGTTCGACATGACCAAAATACAATACATGACTGGCAAGTCAAATGAATAATACGAAGGGACCAGACATGATTGTATAAAAATACCTTACGTTTTGTGTGACCTTGATCAAACAATGTATTAATATTATATAATGTCACATAAAATATAATGAGAAATTTTCAAAAAACTATTCGTGTTTAACAAACTCCATAGATTCAATCTTCGTTCTTAAATAGAGAAGGTACGTAGGATGACTAATTTGATAGATAAATTCTATTGGATCCAATACGGACTTCATCGAAAATATACATAAGATAGATATCGTCAACAGATGTACAGCATAACTATTTCTGTTTTAAATATGTTTGTAATTTCTTCAGGTATCTATAAAATGTCTAAAATAGCGGTGTACGATATTTTGATAGGTCATTCTTAAGTAATTCTGAACGTCGATTTGATTTATTAAAAGACAAAATTTCTTGATGTGAAAAAAACGTTTTCGCGAGCTTTTAAAAATTGCGCTGTATTTTCTCTATCATAATCCGTATAGCATGTATTACTTTGTCATAGATGATCAAATATTCTTAATTAAGAATAGCTTTGATCAACGAAAACAAGATCAAATAGATGTGCTGGAGTTCTAATATATTGATATTCATGTTTTGCATTTCTCACTATTTATATACACTGATAGTTTATAAATTAATGAATATTATTTGATTATTTCTTCAAAATCCAATAGAATTATTTATTTAAAATAGATTTATAATGCCTGTCACGATCATTTCAATCTATACATTTCAAATAACTGCAAGTTAATTATAATAATTCAATGAAAACTAATATCCTGAGTTTTTCAATAAAAATCGATCATCAATAACTTTTAATTGGTTCAACCAAATTTGTATAATTCTTTATTATGAAGAAAAAAATAAATCACTTATTTGTTTTTGTGAAAGATATGCAACAGTTGAAGAATATTATATATAAAACTTATTGTCGATAAATAAATTTATTGGTGTAATAGAGTGTATTATGTGATAATGATTATATGAGAAAAAAATAGTTATGTCTATAATTGAGATCGATTTGTTATTACATAATGATTTAATTCAATTTTCTTAAAAGAGAAAATTCTATAACGAGATGATAACTATCTCCGTATTAAGTGTCAATAAATGTAATTGACAAATCTAGATGTATTTGATCCGATATGAACATATTATTTTTATTTGTATGTATATACATACGTACGTATTGAAATGAGACTCTTTGCATAATTATCGGTGACAACAATTAGTTAAGCCATCTGTCTCATGTTCATTTTTCAGTAATCCTAATGTTCTTTCTTTGTTTCTTTCTGTCTCATCGTTCGTAATCGAGCAAATATAAAATTTAGTCTGTCTCCATCATTATCATTATCATCTAGTTAGTTTTTATTCACTTAGATCATCATCATCATCATCAATCGATGTATGAAGCAATATTTTGTTTTGTCGCTTTTATTACTCTCTACACATAATGTTCAATTTCATTTACGATGTCAAGTCTTTCTTTCTATTCGTTTTTTTTTCTTCATTTTATATGCATTTCTCCCTTTGTCCACATATACATACATATATGCTTAATATGTGTATGAAAGAGCGTGCATGTACGAGTATGTAATGATGACATGTTGATGATGACAATGTACGCCGTGTGATTGAAGTGGATGAGAGGGTCATTGGACCGATAGTCACCTGAATAGACTAGAAGTTTTGTAATGTTCAAGAGGGCGGAAGATTTTAGGCAAAGTTAATATATGCGCATCACATATAAAACAATTGAAATTGTCGGTGATAAGAATGAAAGGAAAGTATAGGTACATTGTCTGACATCGCATCTGGTGAGTAGAAGAGAGTATGATGTAAGAGGTGAGAATTCAATCAATTCATCATTATTAATAGACAAGGAAGGCAAAGTGTAACACTTTTTTCACGTGTCGGAGGTAAAATAGGTGAGTTAGTAAAAATGATTTATCATGATGATAATTCATATAATCAAGAAAAACAAGTTTGTTCTACTTGAAGTTTAGCATATTGAGTAGATTTATAGAGATCATTGAATTTATTTCCATCATTTTCTTGATAGATATATATATATATATTATTGAATTTTCTATTTGATGCTCTCGTTCTCATACTCTATAACGTGGTTTGAATCTTAAGAGGATTGTCGCCATCGGCGATCTCTAATATCGAATCGATGTCGTAAGAAGAACAAGGTCAGTACGGTTGAAGCCGGAAAAAATATGAACTCTGTTTTTTTTGCTTTGCTCGAGAAATCAAGTCAAGGTTAATTTGTTTCATATCGTTAACTCTATCTTTTCTTTTTCTCCCTTTTTCATATCTTGAATAAAATGTCATTCAGTATCTCAATTGGAATGACTATGTCTTAAGCTTTAAAGATAAAAGGGAAACGTGTGATAGAACAGTAGATTTCAATTGTTTATTCCTTGAGAGCGCGTGTATTGATCATCAAGTGTGACAAAAGAGCGTGTGTTCTCATTAGAATCTCATGATGCCGGCCTTCTTTACTCTTTCATATTGTGTGAAGTGTACTCTTTTACTTTTTTTTTTTCTTCTTCGTTTTCTTTTGGCAAGGAAAAGAAAATCAATCGCTGCTGTCCTATTCGAAATGAACTCTTTACCACCACTGATTGTTAATATACGAAATAATAATAACAGACGAACGTCACTTGCAATGCTTACTCAATCGAATAGGTAAGAAGAAAAAGAAAGTTTCTTAATTATGATAATTCATCATCAATAAATTTTTTACTTTTAAAAGAAAAGTAAAAAGAAAACAGTTATTCTTATATATATATATATGTATAAAGGTCGAATAACTTTAAAAATAAATCTAATACAAATGTGTTATTACATTTTTGATTTAGTTTTATCAAATCATCTTCTATTATCAATGATTATTTTGTCAAATTTTATACATCAAATTATTGTTCAATGTTCGGTGAACAAATAAATTGTATCAATCGATACAATAATCAAAGAAGAGAGGATGATGATCAAGTAAGTATGCATGTCCAATCTATTTTGCTATAAATAGAGAAAGATAAAAAGAAAAGACAATTTGATATGCCTAAAAGCAAAAATTGTCGTTTTTCTCTTCCCATAATGGTTATAGATGTCTTTTTTTTTCTTCTTGCTCTATAACCTTGCACACTCAAATATTTGTCTCGTCTTCTTTATTGCATGAGTTGTTATTATAGTATTGCCGTTCTACTGTCATCACTAACACTTCATCGAATTTTCGATCTCCTCTTCTTCCAAACAATCATCACCATCGTCGAATGAAACGGTATCAACGTCGTGGGCATTTATCAAGGTAAGCAATATAGAAAAAATTTCGATATATGATAAAGTGTATTTTGTTATCACATAATAATTCATTTTTTGTCAATAACTTAATATAATTTCTAAGGCCAAATAAACTTAAATGTAAGCATATCATATTTATGTATAGACATCAATCATAACAGAAGAGTTAATGTCTTATCTATTGAAGAGTCAAATTATGAACATTGTCTATACTGTCTCGACGTGTTGAAAAGTAAAGATTGAATAAGTAATAATGCAAGGTCAGCTGTTTTTTCTCTCTCTCCCTCTCTATACGATGAATGAGTAGACATCGATTATAAGACTGTATTACTTTCAACTTAACCGCCGTTAATTCTTCTCCCGATCATCAACGAAATATTTTCTATCATTAACTATTCGCAGCAAGTATGTCTAGTCTTAAACTTCTCACTATGTGAAGTCAAATAAGGCGGAGTGGGTTAATTCATTGAATTAATCCGATTAATTTTAGTAAGATATCTTTATACGTTGTAAAGGTCATTCACATTGAGTGGTCATAGGATAGATCATTATTATCTTTTGCGCGAGCGCGCGTTCTGCATGTTACGCATTCCATTCATATTTTACAATTTTTTTTCTTTCTTCATCATTTTTTTCTTTTTTGCAAATGCAAATATCGATTAATGAAGCGATTAATCGTAAGATTTGGCGAGGAAAAAAAATTTGACGACTATTTGTCTATGTATTCGATTTGTACATCCGTTGGTTAGTGTCATTATTGCTTGTGTGAAGGACATATCGTGATCTTAATTAACATCATCGTTTATTATCACCAACAAAAACGCGGAAATCATATTTGTCTTCATTCATAACGAGCCGAAGCTAAAAGCAATTCCGCCTTGTATTTGTTCTACTGACCATCATCCTTCGCACCGTATTAAATCGTAGTTCCTGCATTCTCATTCTCTATTCAATAAGTAAGTAGACAAGAGGGGGCAGGAAGGGAAAATATAAGCGTATATGCCGTTTATTAGTTAGGCAATTGGTTCTTTGTGTGACACCTCTCTTGTTCTCTGTTATATGTGCTTTCTTTTCCTTTTTCTTTCTTTTCTTTTTTTCTTCTTCTTTAAATCAAAAGATGGTTTTGAACTCGGATGTATGTACTATGCGCGACCAACTACTTTACTTGATTACATCATTTTCCATTGACTCGCTATGTGCCAGATATTTTGTTGACTTTAAGGTAGATTGCACAAGAAAAAACGTTTTATTCTCAAGAAGTTGACGTGAGTTTTATTTCTTATTTCTCTTAACGGATTTATTTCATTTTATTTGATTAAATTTTTCGATATTATCAAAATGTTAAAACGTTTCTTCTTGTTATATGTACATCTTTGATATTTACTTTGCAGAACCGTGATAGAAGAGAGTAGTACGTGTATATATTAGCGTATAAAAAAAAACAAATCAATTACTTCTCGTTTTTTTATAGTTATTAATGATAGAAGATTTTTTTTTTCTTGTGAAAAAAAACAGATTGTCACGCTATGTCGTTCTTATAAACATTAAACGGCATACTTATGCGTCAATTCTTGTGAGTAGTTGACAAAGATTACTAAGATAAATACACTTGCTAGTTATGGTAGATTTAATAAACCATAAATAGAAATAAACACAAAACTAGCCTAACAGATCTAGCCGTGCGTATGTAACCAAGGTCCAAGTGACAAATTAAAATAACAGCATGTGTTCGTTTTTAATTAATATTAAGAAACAAGAAAATAAATTACTTCTGTTTTACTTAACTTGAAGGTTAAGTAAATAGTTTATTTTCTAATCAGACAATTGACAAGTATATTTAAAGAATAATTCTAATGCAAAGTTATACGAATAGGGCACATATGCCAAGATTGTCTTGAATCTTTATCAATACTTGTCATCTCATATCTTTTCTCAGTCGATTCGCCAATTGACTTGTCATCGTATATAAAGAGGAGAGAAGAAACCGAAGAAAATCCCATTTATTGGAGATCTAGGCAAATTGTTGTTAGTCGTTTTATTCATCATAATTTCATCTATAAACAATGTCAAGTATATAATATACCCATCAAATATGATACGAACATCATCACTTACTTTTTTTTTCTTCTTCTTTTTATGAAACAATCTATAGATTGAGTTTCCATTTTCTTTTCTGTCTTTTGTGTATACCCACGTATATCCTTCAACGTTAACAAATTACGAGATATACTGTCATCTGATATACTGATTGATCGACGATGGTTGTTGTTTTTGTTGTTGTTTTCTCTTTCGACATGTTCTTTGTCGTCATCGTCATCATCAAAAATGAGTTAATCTGATTAAATAGTAAAAGAGAAACTTCATTAGTATGTATCTTAGTTAGACAGAATCTTGAAATCAGTAATATATAGAACAGGAATGTTATTTGTATATATAAATGAGAAAGAACGCGTTATTTACATAGAACAGTACACGGTGATGAAGTCATCTTTTATATATATATATATGTATATCATAGAGTGAAATTCAATACTCGTTGAAGAATGTCAGCAGAGATCGTGTATAACCTTGTACATACGTGTTCCATACGTATAGATGTGATGTATATTTGCTTTTATATTACTTCTGTACTTGCGTCATTCACTATAACAAAAGAGATGACACATTTCTTTTTTTTCTCTCTCTCTCTCCCTTTCCCTTCTCGTTCTTGGTTTAATCAAGTAGAAATTAGAGCCATGTCTTCTTTCATCATTTCATTTGTAGTTTGCTCTCATCGAAACAAGGAACAATGATCGGCGTTGACCAAAAGCATACGGTCGGACTTATGCAACAGCAAGAACAAGCAGCACCACCATTGACATCTTCATTTATTAATCAACTTCAATCATCTATTACAACAGATTCGTCAAATTCTAGTATTTTTGATACTAATTATCATCAAAAAAAGTTTATTTCATCATCACGAGTAAGAACACAAATACATAAAAATAATTCATGTCTTTTACTCTTCAGTTAATCTAATATAGTAGTCTCTCTAGTAAAGAGAAATGTCAGTATCTTTTTTTCTCGATTGACCGATGCAACTGGTGGTCTCTATTCAGTCAGTTTTATCTATCTTAAATAACTAATACATCAGTATAGAAAAGGGCCTATGTCCCAGTTGAATTGCCAATGCGTTTTGAGACATTGAAAAAGAAATTTTATTTCTCTATCTTATATTATTTAGATAAAGCTTGGCCTCCGTTGTTCATGTCCATTAGATGACAAGCAACAGCTATTATTCGATGAGATCTTTCCTAATAATGAACAGACAACGAACATTAGTGAACATATTCTAGATGAATGTATACCACGTTTAATACAGAATTCTTCTAATATATTGATTATACTCTCTGGTCAACATCGAGACAGTAAGAGTAGACAGATTTGTTATTTGAATAATAACGCTTTTCTTTTCTGTATAGTTCATCAATTGCAAAGTACAGTTGTATCATCAACATTAACACGTTTATATAATTTTGTTAATGAAAATCAAGAAAAAGATCTCAGTCTTCGTATTGGCGTACAAGAATTTTTAAATAGCAAAAAATTTGGAAGTAAAATTTTTATTTTATTTTATTTTTTTTCGAAAATCTATTCACTTTGTTTTTCAAATAGAAAAATGTTTAGTATCGTCCGATGATTATCTTGTTTCATCTCCAAATGAAACATGTCAATATTTAAATGAACTCTGTTCAAATCATCGATTTAATCCATTATTAATAACATTTCATCTTATTAATCGTTTATCGAATAATAATTACGCATTATTACATATTCTTCTTACAAATGATAATGATAATGAAATAGGAAAACAACAATTTTCCGATATATTTATGTCATTGGCATTATCATTTTCATCAAATAGACAAAAACAAACGTTATATACATCAACGTAAGTTTTGCTAATTATATATTATTTTCTTCATTAAATCTATTTACCAAATGTCTCTATATAATAGAAAGCGAAACTTAACAACAGTACAATCTTTATCATCGATACTAAACGATTATCTATCAACTAATACGGAAGTATATTCAAAACATTTTTTATATATATTTGCAAATGTTAAAAACGATAAACAAGTAAAATATTGGTCAAAACTTCAACGTTTATTTCGAATTAAAAAAAATCGATTAAAAGTAAGAAGAAAAAGAAGAACACATTACAAATATCGAATTTCCTTTTATTTAGATGTCACGAGATCGTTTTGATTCCTATGCTGATTCATCATCCGTTGAAACAATTACGAATCGTAATAATGATGAAATTTGGATTGATGGTCCATTAAGTTCGACGAATTCGAAAACTGAAATATGGATCGATGGTCCACCGGAGTTTTGTTCTAATTCATCAAAACTTCTTCCTGTAAAATTAAACTTTAAACATCGATCAAATTCTTCTCGTCAATATAAATCGAAACCTCGATCAACTTTTTTCTCTCCTAAACGTCCTTTACTATCATCAACATTGATATCTCAAGAAAATAACGAATCATCATCTCGAAATTTTGATACTGAATCAACTGTTAGTTCTCATTGTCATTTACCTGTATTACCTGTATTTAAAGATCATTCATTACTTCCATTTCGTTCTAATCAAACATTACCACGAACAAAACCTTTGGTAACTACAGAACCAACAAAAATCGATTTAAGATTAAGTACAAATAAATTAAATGATGATATGGAAGCATTAGAAAAGACACTTGAAACACTATTGATTCCGTCACCTATTGTACCGAATCAAACTGATACTGATCAATTAAGTTTAACACAATCATTGAATCGTATTGATCAATTATCATCATCAATGTCAAATGATGAAAGAGCTAAACGTTTATCACGAATTGTTTCACCAACACGTTTTGAGAAATTATTTTCGTAAGATTAAATTTTTTTGCTTAAGAAAATCATTTTTTTCTTTGTTTTTTCATTATTTTAAGTCATAATCAATCAATAGAAAATTTTAATTGGTTTCATCCTCATACACCTTCATCAGCCGGTTCATCAGTTCCAAATTCACCTGTAATTAAATCTAAAAATCGTCAAGTACAAACACCATTAAATTCTACGCCTGAAACACCTCGTCGTTCAATATTACCATCAAAAAAATCGAAAATTCTATCGGATACAAATCGTCCAACAACAAATACTCGACCATCGATTTTTCAACGTTTATTCGGTTTACGTTCATCATCAAATTCACAACAACAACAACAACAACAACAACAACAACCGATATCAATTGTTATTGATTCACCACCATCAACACCATTAATTTCACCGTTACGAGTAACATTAGATTCACATGATGATCTCATGCCATTAACAACAAGTAGTACAGCATCATCAGCATCCGGACGTGCTAGTTCAAGTGGTTATGAATCAATGAGTAATACAGCACTTGAAGAAATGATAGCATCTATACCAATAATTATGACAAATGAAAGTAATCCAGTCAAATTAAGAAATAAATCAATACGAAAAGGTTTGAATTCAAATTATATTTTCATTCTGAAAGAATATATTCGAAATTGATCTAGTTTGTTCCTTAATGAAAGAATTAATTGCAAGATACATTCTTTCGTGCGAGACGAATTTCTGTTTTTGGCAGTAGTTATCAATTAATTTGTAACTTTTTATGCTTAAAATACGGTAGAAAAGGACGATTCTAGAATCTGATAAAATACAGTATAATGTTGTGACTTGAAGCGATCATAAAATAAATATATTGTAATTAACTAACGTAAATGAATGTAACGCATGGAGATTCTAATGCGTTCGGATACATTAAGATTTTAATGAGCTTAATTAAATAATACAGCAATCCTTCTAATTCGTTGCAATACGTGTTTTTATCAACGGATTATAGCGGATGAAGGTATTTAATTGTAAAACTAATGGTTTATAGTAAAATAATGCACATTAACTCAGTAAATCGATTTGTGAGGTTGATGAATCATTCAGAGAAGGTTTTGACATATTCAAACCGATTTGTTTCTATCAGACAATAGCTTTTTCGATTTATTTTCGTGTACATTCGCCTCCGCAGAAATGTATACCGTTGGCCTTTTCTTTCTATGTTGCTCTGTTTTTTCTCATTTCTATTTATAACTTCATACGCAGTGAAGTAAACATTCTGTAGTTTCATAAGAGTCCTTTGCGATCTTTACTGCTTGACAGATTTTTCGAAAAGCTGAAATCTAATTCCAAATAAAAATTAACAAGTTATTCGAAGCATAAACTAGCTGATTGCTAGCTCGAAGAAAAGAAAGAATTTGTCTCACGATATTAATAGATGCTGCGCTGACTACTATGAGAAAATCAAGCAGCAATCATCAAGAGATGCGAGCCCGCGACGACAGCAAAGAAAAATAAAAAAGTCTTCTCTTTTGATCGTTTCAACGAGAAACATCACGCGATGCAATTAATTATTTAATAAATAGCGCAGACAAAGCAAACGGTATATTATGTGTAACTGATTTCTAAAATAATGAGTTTTTGCGTAGTATTTCGTTTTTGATAAAACTATCAATGGTAAATAAAATTTCTTCAGCAGAGTACATTCGATTAATTGAAATAACAAATAAACAAATCACTTCATCAAAAAAATTTTCTTGTATATTATTTTTAGAAGAACGTCGTCCGAATATAAATGCATTATGGAGTAGTCCAGTTGTAAGTTTTACATTAGCAAAAGAAAACAAAGTAAAATTATCATCAATATATATGTTTTTTTATAATAGCTTCGTGATAAATCTCATCGTCAACAACGTATTTCTCAATTAAAACATCGACAAAATGAATTAAAAATTGAATTAGCAATGACAAAAACATTTTTACTGATGGATAAAAATAAAACTTTAGATTATAATGATTGTAAATATAAGATAAATATATATAGATCTAATCTATCTATCCTTCTTTTTCTTTTAAGCATTCAATTCAACATTAAGTAATAGTCCAATGCATACAATAATGTCAAATATGAATGAAGAAGATGAACTTGAACGAGATATTGAATATTTAGAACGACGTTTACTATCAACTAAAACACAATTAATGTTTGTCACATATCAAAAAAATAAACAACTAAAATCTTAGAATGAGAAAAAATATATACATATATATAATTGTTTTTTCGTTTTGTTTTTATAATTTCTTTATTTGATATATATATATATATAAAAGAATATACTTATTTATAAATACACAGAAGAAAATATAAGGAAACCAAGTAATTTTTTATTTACATAAATTTAAAAACAGAATATTTTCTGGATAAATATATATACATAACGTCACACGTTTGTGACTATGTAACCATAAACGTCATTTGCCGCAATGCACCCTTTCTCTTCTTCTTCTCCGTTCTGTTGATGGGAGAAATCATATATATACACATGTGTCGGGGTGTATAAGCAGGTATATATTAAAAAAAAGGAAGCAACAAACATTTGCATCACAACGTAGGAAAATAAAGAGCAATATGACTTCATTGCTTATGTTATTTATGTATGCAATTGTTGGACCATTTGCAATTTTAAAACTTTATGCAAAAAATTTAATGCGTCGAGCTTATAAAAATCAAATTCTACTTAAATTAATGGCATCAGTCGTTAGCTTAGCAGTTGGTTCACAAATCGCATATAGATACCGTTATCGACATACATTCGTATGGTTAACTAGTAGTATATTTTTTCTTCTTCTCAATTATTGGTATATTATACCACTTCTTCTTATTTATGTTTTACCTATAATACATAAATTTACACAAACTTGGCTTTCATTTATTGATATATTTTCTGATAAAATTCTTCGTCCTTGTAGTACAAAGCTTCGTCAAAGTTTACCATCAATATGGACATTTGAATCTGATCAAAAATTATGGCCGATTGAAAGTATTCGTTTTATGTTAACTTATGGTACAATTGGTCCAGCACTTTATTGTGGTTATGAAGTTTATTCTCATTTATTTTTTGGTATTAGTTTTAATTTATGTATTTCAGTAGCTGTAACGATTCTTGTTACAATAACATTATGGCATATACTTGATTCTATTGATAAAGATCTTTATCCATTTTTATTTGCAATTATAATACAATATTACATTATACCAATAAAATCAGCATTAAATATTCCTTTAACACTTTTATTAACAACATTTCTATTTCCTTTTCTCAATAATCTTTTAATTAGTAATTCAATACAAGATTTTATACAAAATATTAAATCATTAAATTTTCGAACATTTGTTGAAACAAATAGTAATTACAAACAATTTTATAGTGAATTTGTTAATTTATTTATTGCAATTTATTTAACATACAAAGTTTTTCGTATTTGTTTGTTATGTAATGTATCATGGTTAATAATATTATCAATAATAATATTTCTACCGATTTATTTCTATACACATTGTATACGTTTTATAGCAATTGAACCAAATACAATTATGTTTTTATTTTCATCATTTATTTTAAGTATAGATATTTTATCTCGACGTGCTCATGATCATTTTATTTATAAATATTTTCTTGTTATTATGATTTTAACATTTTATTTTGCTTTAATTTATCCATTATTATATCATATATTACGTCGTTTAACAATTAAATCAGCAGATGATATTGGATTAAAATTAAAACAATATCGAGAAAAAATTAATCAACAAACATTTCAATTTAATCAACAATATTTACGCATTACTTATATTCATGACTCATCAAAATATTTTATATTACATTTATGTAATATCTTAATTACTATTTCTTTACTTATGTTTCTTCCAATAAATATTTTCCCACGATTAATTCTATCTTTATTAAGCTATTTACTAATTGGTCGATTATTATTAGAACGTGGTTTAGAAATTCTTGCAATTCTAATATCATTATCCACAAGTATAACAGTCGGTGCTGATGTTTCTATTCGTTATGGTAATTCTTTATTATTAATTATGTCACTTGCTTTGATAACATATGTATCAACATTAGTAGTTGCTTTTCCGATAATCTATCGTTTTATACAATTTATATTAATTCATTTGCCTTTAATTGATTATGTTGATAATTATTTAGCAAAAGTATTTATCTATATATGGTCATATTTTGATATTTTTTGGCCACATATTCGAACAAGTTTTACTGAAGTAAAAACAACGATTGAACAATCAAGATTAAACATGTTTCGTCATTCGAGACAGATACAATAACTTTAATTGAAGTGTAAATTTGAAAAAAAACGAAATTTTTTCTTTGTTTTGTTTCGATTTCGATTAAAAATATCGTTAGAAAGTTGACAATTTGTAATATATTATATTCAACGATGCATGACAGACAAAGATATACAAGGTTATTTTATCTTGATATGCAATCAAATTTTCATTCAAATAAAGTTAAATAGTATATTTTTAGAAGTCTTATGAACATGACTTGATCTAAAAAATTTTCTTTCTTTTTTTATATAGTCTGTCATTTTGACAGTTTCTGTCTTCTAGATGATTATTCATCTGTTTTATAAAAACAACCCGACAAAGTCACTTGCTTTCTATTCACTTGTGTAACCAATTGAATAGGTCTTCTTCGAGTATTTTAATCGAAAATATAGTGAAATGAATACATGAGAAATCATTCACTCTTCTCGAAATATTGTAATGTGTTCATTCAATCGAAATATTGAGTTTATACTTTTATTATTCAATACTTTTACATTACATTTATTATTCTTTTTTTTCTCTATTGATTTTTGCACAATGAAAATCAAATATCTAAAATGATATTCTTAATTAAAAATAACATTTCGGATGCAACAAATAGAATATTTGCCGTCGTTCTTCTTTTTTTTCTTATCATCATCTTTAATTTATTTTCCCAACAGGTTGTAACTTTGATTACATTGGGAAAGTCATTTTTTATTATGGCCTCTTTATGCCCATCAGCTATTAACATCTATTCCCCGCTGCTATCACAATTTGTTTATTCTGATACGGGTCAAAGATGAGCATAGAATTGCTTAAATGACATTTAATTATTCTCTTTCATATTTATTGCAAAAAATAAAATGCATTAAAAAGATTTGGACTTCAATAGATATACATTTATTGTAGTATTCATTGTGTCGCGTGTCGACTACCATCGATGTCTGAGTGTCATTATTCGTAATTGGAGAAGCGCTATATCTTCTTACTACAGAATAACTTTTCTTGTCGCTTGTGTTTGCTTGCGTTCATGACCTTCTATTCTTTGCATTTTTTTTTCTTCTCTTTCTTTCTTTCTTGCACAAAAGTTCATCCTGACGTTGCTGAACGTTCACTGTTCATCTATATATATATATACACGATGGAACTCGTTCTCTTGTATTCAACATATAGAGGTTTTTCTCTCTTTTTTTTTGTTCTCTATCTTCTTCTTTTTCTTCTTCTTCTTCTTCTTCTCGTTGTCGTTAGAGTAAATGCAAAGTATAGACGACTTTTTTTTTTTTTACTATTAATGTGTTCAACAGCAAGCTTTCGTATACGTTCGCGTAAGAAAGAAAAAGGCGAGGGAGAGAGAGAGTTTTATATATGGTCATTGTCTCTTGTTTGTGTTTGACGCCCGAATGCTTTTGATATGATGAGGTGAGGACAATAGAATACTATAAATGATTGAACGAGGTGTGATAGTCGGAACTATATACTTCAAACATTCGGCACTAAAGGGCATCAGACATACAGAATAAGTAAAACATACTAAAAAAATCGATTTATACTCGAAAGAAAAATATTTTTTTATTATTATTTGAAAGGTTTTTCGTTATTCCTTCTGGCAATGATTATTTCAATTAAAATACTTTGAATTATTATAAATTAAATTGCGATATCGTTTTTTTTCTTCTCTCTCTCTTGTAAATCATATCACATATTACTCATGCTATTCTACTTTTGGTTATTACATACAAATGTTTGATCTGTTTATATTAGAAGATGTAAAATTGTTTGAAAGAGAATCTCGATGATATCTTATACTTATCTTCGTTGTCATCTGTTTCCTTTTATATGATGTTTTTTAGCTTTTTATTTGTTAAAACATACATCCTCATACTATAAAGACAAATCTAACATTGAGTTGACCATCTGGCGATGCTTTCTCGTTCCTTCTCGTCTGTTCATTTGACTCTTGAGGGTCGGACACAAATGTATGTATGTATGTATGTGTGTATATATATATGTATGTTCGTGCTGCCGTCCTTGTCTCTTCCTTTTTCTTGCGCCCCTACCATTCGTTCGTTCACTCATACTCGTTCGGACAATAAAAATCGATCATTTTACGGCGGCTGCAGTAACTATATATGTATATCTACCCTCTCCTTTTTTTTTCTTCTCTCTTCATGACCGGCTCAATTTGTGGGATGGCGAATGAGACTGAACGTACGGACAGAACTGGTTCATCATCATTGAACAGAACAGACACATATCCTTCTTTTCTTCTCTCAACATACTTTACAAGTGTTCAATAGTCTATCGTTAGTGAACTTGATTTTTTTTCTCGTTTTCTTTTTTAGAAATAATGTATTATCATCATCTAAATAATTTAATAGTTTTATTTTTAATCATCCCATCACTAGTAGAATTATTAACTATTAATACAGATATTTTAATTTTACCGCATAATGCTCAACGTGGTTTTGTTTTATTGGAAGAAACAAAACCAAGTCGATATAATGAATTTCTACAATGTTTAAAACAAACTAATGATCAATTAAATATTGATATTGATCAAAAATATGGTGATTTAATATTAAATAAAACAATAGAAAATTTCATTTTTAATCAACAACGACTTCTTTGTACAATTAATCGAAAACAAGTAAGAAATATTCTTTTTTATTTTTTCGAACTATGATACAATCAAATTGTACGATGTCACATCAGTGTATAGTCTACACGCAAAGTTGGCCCATACTAGACAGACTTATTTGTTCACTGAGAAAAAATATATCAGAGTGGTTAATTTGTCTGATCGATGTTTATATAAAAATAACACAGATGAACATATATATGGGTTTTTCATATTTTTCTTTCTAGTCATCGATTTTGAAACTTTATTATACAATTATCAATTCAT